TAATCATGGCTTCTCCTCCTCTCCATCTTTAATCATGGCTTCTCCTCCTCTCCATCTTTAATCATGGCTTCTCCTCCTCTCCATCTTTAATCATGGCTTCTCCTCCTCTCCATCTTTAATCATGGTTTCTCCTCCTCTCCATCTTTAATCATGGCTTCTCCTCCTCTCCATCTTTAATCATGGCTTCTCCTCTCCATCTTTAATCATGGCTTCTCCTCCCAGGTTTATTGGGATGCTGCTGGAGCTGCTAGTCTGCTGCAACGAGAAGTTTGGCGCGCAGATACAGAAGCATGTGAAGGAGCTTGTCGGACACGAGCTCAGCCCCGCGCTCTACCCAATCCTCTTCGACCAGATCAAGGTCATCGTCGACAAGTTCTTCGACATACAGTCGCAGGTACGTCTTGCCGCACACAGACACATGTACGTACATACATACATACATGTATACATACATATGTACATACATACATATATGTAGTGTACACACATACATACAGTGACAGGTGCATTTCCGCGGAGTTTGAGCGTACAGGTACGTCGAGGCAACCTTTCTGAACAGGTACGTCGAGGCGACCTTTCTGAACAGGTACGTCGAGGCGACCTTTCTGAACAGGTACGTCGAGGCAACCTTTCTGTACAGGTATGTCGAGGCGACCTTTCTGAACAAGTGTCTGTTCTCTCGGGGCGTCCCGTTGGCACGGGTGCGACCCTGCGTGCGCAGTACAATACACAATCTATTATCGTGTCTGGTCCTGAGGGTTTCGGATAATAGATTGTATACTGTACGTGGTTACGGGGGCGTGCAACTGCGTTGAAAGGATCTGCACTGACTTCTCACTGCTGTGCAGGGAGGTCTGCCATGGCTTACCATCTCGTGGACCTTCTTTCAGGTGATCGTGACGGATCCACACACGCAGTTCATCGAACACATCATCTTCATCATGAAGAACATACTCGAGAACAAACCGGAGAACTCGTCCGAACATCTCGGCGTGACGAGCATTGAGGGAAAAAAAATGTGGAAGTATCTGTGTCTATATGCAGAGAGATTCGCTTCCCCCTAAAGAGTATAGCCTGACTCTTGAAATTCTATGTGCACTGCCTTCTTTTCGAGCAGCTGCTATTTTCTTTGCAAAATGTTCCGTGAAGTTCCGTTGTTTTCTTCATGGAATGCTGCTCTATGACACAATCATGTTTTCTCTGTAAGAGGCGCTGTTAATTTATCTGCACCATGCTCTTGGATGTGCAGTTGTTTTTGTCTGTGTGGCACCTTAGATGTTGCGTTGTTTTTTTTATCGAAACCGCACCCTAACCCGTGTTATTTAATCCACACAGCACTCTGAAGTGATATAATATTTTTCTGCGCTTGTAGAACCCAGCTTAGGCAGGGAGCAGATACAGACCAGCTTACTGGATCCTGATCAACATATTTTATCGCTTTAGTTTTATCTGCGGCGCACTTTCAGACGTTTTCTTGTTCTTTTAGAACCCGGGAAAGGCGGGCCACGAGATACAGAGCAGCACGCTGGAGCTGATCAATGGTCTCGTGTCGCTCGTGCATCAGGCGTCGATGGCCGACATCGCTCAGGAGGCGATGGAGGCGCTGCTATGTCTGCACCAACCCGACAACATCGAGCTGTGGAACCCCGAGGCACCCATCAACACGTTCTGGGACGTGAGGTGTGTAGTGCTGTGCTGCGCGGACGTGCGTCATTTCCTCGTGTGCACACGCTTCACGTGCGGTCGGAAGCTGAGGAGCGTGGCTTCATATATCGTTTCCTCATCTGCACACGCCTCGTGAAGTGCGGTCGGAAGCTGACGAGCGTGGCTTCCTTTATCGTTGCAGTTCGCAGGTGCTCTTCTCCATCTCACAGAAGCTCATCCAGCATCAGATCATCAATTACACGGAGATCCTCAAGTGGCTGCGAGAGATCCTCACCTGCCGCAACATGTTCCTGCTCAAGCACAAGGACTACGCCAATGTTGGCAGCAACATACCCATCTGCCGGCAAGCCCACATCAAGCTGGAGGTGAGCGCGTCGGCGCGGCGACGTCCGTCGTCGTGGCAACATGCGGTGTCGTTGCGACATCGATTCTTGTCTCATGGCGACGTTGGTCGTCGTGGCAACTTGCGGTGTTGTGACGACGTCGGTCCTTGTCTTGTGGTGACGTTGGTCGTCGTGGCAACTTGCGGTGTCGTTGCGACATCGGTTCTTGTCTCGTGGCGACGTTGGTCGTCGTGGCAACATGCAGTGTCGTTGCGACATCGGTCCTTGACCCCTGGCGACGTCGGTCGTCGTGGCAACATGGGTGTCGTTGCAACGTCGGTCCTTGTCTTGTTGCATCGTCAGCCTTTGAGTCATGATTATCTTTACAGTCTAGATTGGTGGTGACTTATATTGTTAAGGATTGCAATGACGCATTGCTTCTAGTGAGAGGCATTAGCTGTTATCTGCTGTGTCAGTATGTCCACCATCGTATAGCCGACCTGCTGTCTAGCTCACGTGCCTAATGGGGTACGGAATTTGGCAGTGATTTTTTGTAATGAGCGCATGGAAGGGTATGTTTGAATTGCGTTGATCACAGACGTACTTACCCCCAACTGAGAGCGACACGGCACCTATCCGAAACGAATCGGTTTTGGATGTCTAATGACTCGGAAGAAAGGTTGCCTCGACGAAGTTTTACAAAGTTCACACCCCGTTGCCGGTGTGATGCGGTGTTGCGTAGATGTGCTCTGCTAGATGGAGACCCTGTTGACTAACGTTCACGTCGTGTCCATTGTCACGTGCAGGTGGTGTTCTTCATGTACCTGTGGAGCATCGACATCGACGCCGTACTGACGGCCATGTCCTGCTTCGCTCTGCTGTGCGAGGAGGCCGACATACGCTGCGGCTCAGACGAGCTCGCTGTCACTCACCTGCTTCCTAATTACCAGGTACGCCGTCACTCACCTGCTGCCTAATTACCAGGTACGCCGTCACNGCGTCCGTGCGTCCATGCGTGCGTAGGCGTGTCCGTGCGTGCGTAGGTGTGTGTGTGTGTGTGTGTACGTGCGTGCGTGCGTGCGTGCGTGCGTGCGTGCGTGCGTGCGTGTGTCATGCGTGCGTGCGTGCGTGCGTGTATGTGCGGTGTGTGTTATCACTGGTGTCATCGACTGTGTCTCTGCATCGTCACTGATGTCACATAGATGTGTCACACCTCTCACTACCTCACTCTGTGTGTGTTTGTGGTTTACAGGGAGCTGGACCAGGCGAGTATGGAGGCGGTGGCAGCGTTGCTAGCAGGCCTGCCCCTGCAGCCCGAGGAGAGCGATCGAGGAGACCTGATGGAAGCAAAGTCTCAGATGTTCCTCAAGTAAGTTCTAGAAGCATGGCGGTGCGGCGTGCTAGGAAAGGCAGAGGTGCAGGGCAGGTATAGTTAATACGGGAACCTCACTCAGAAGATGCTGTCTGTGTGTGAGTGCGTGCGTGCGTGTGCGAGCGTGCGTGCGTGCGTGCGTGCGTGCGTGCGAGTGCGTGCGTGCGTGCGTGTGTGTGCGTGCCTCCATGCACACGCGCCTTTCGTGCTACATTTCTGTACTGCGGTGATCCGCTGTGCTTTGCGGTTCATTCCTCCACTCTTCTGCGCTGTTTCGTTTACCTCTCTGTTGTTCTCTCTCCTTCCCTCCTGGAGGCTTGGGGCGTGTACATGGTGAACATTAACCTCTCTGTTGTTCTCTCCCCTTCCCTCCTGCAGGCTCAGGGT